TGAAATAGCGGTCAAATACCTTGATACTAATATGTTTGAGGAACAATCAGGAAAAATTAATGAATAAAAATGAAGAAAGCCTAAGAGTTACATGGGACACTATCGTAAGTAATAATTTACACATAATATGAATACCAGAAGAATTGGGAAAAAGAATACAGAGAGAATTATTGAAGATATATTGGCAATTTTGAAGATATATTGCCAAATATCACAAAAGTTGAGAATGTTATCATGTATGTTATCAATGAACCCCACACAGAATGTTGTTGTTGTTGTTATGTGCCATGGAGTTGGACCCAAATTCACCAAGACATATCATAATCAAACTTTCCAAAACCACACACAAAGAAAAGATTCTAAATGCAGCTTGTGAAATATGAAATATCACTTACAAAAGGGCACCAATAGGACTAAGTGCTGTTTTCTCATCAGATATCATATATGTGCTCAAGAAGCAAAGGCACGATATGCATAAAATCTTGAAGGAAAAGAATTGCCAATCAAGAATTATATATCCACCAAAATTGTCTTTCAAAAATAATGGTGAAACCAAGATTTTTCCAGAGAAGCAGAAAGTAAGGGAATTTGTAAAAAAAAAAAAAAAAAATACCCATCTCTCAAGAAATTGAAAGAGTCCTTATTTAGGGACCAATTACATTGATAACAACCTGTAATAAAGACACACAACAACATTACCCAGATACCAATTCAGATAAAGACTTCACAAAAGCAACATTATTCTATAACACTGACTTAAAGTACCCAGAGGAGCTAACTTGTGAATGATAACAATTTCAAAACAAAAAGGAGGTATAAAAGATGTAGTTATAAAGAACTCCCATGTGGGGAGGAAATCAAGGCAATTTCAAGATATAACAAACTGTTTTAAATTTAAGAGTAAGGTAAACTTCAGGGTAACCACAAAGAAAAGTAATGAATCTACTCACCAAAATAAAGAAAAAGAAAGCCAAAAAGACCCAGTAAACATAAAAAACAACAGTGATTGATAAAAAAAGAAAAATCCATCTTAAAAAGATGCACAGAAAATCAAGAGGAATAAAGAAACCATTAACACCACACACACACACACACACACAAATATAACAAAATGACAGCAATGAATCCATACTTATTGTTAAGCATACAGAAAGTAAATAGATTAAATGAACCAGTCAAGAGACAGGAAATAGAAGAATGGATTGAAAAAAAATTCTCATCAACATGTTTCCAATAGGAGACACACAATAGATACAAAGATATAAACAAGTTAAAGATCAAAGAATGAAAAAAGTTTGTTTAAAGCAAACATATCCAAAGAGAGCAGGAGTTGCAATAATAATTTCTGATAAAATAGCCTGTAAGTCAAAATTCATTACAAGAGACCAAAAAAGGTCTTTATATACTGATTAAAGGATCAATTCACCAAGAAGACATACAATAAATATTTATGCACACAATGACAGAGCTCCAAAATATATACAATAAACTAACAGAATTGAAAAAAGAAAGAAAGAGTTCTACAGTAATAGTAGGAGACTTTTAACACACCACTTTCAACAACAGATAGAATAACTAGGAAGAACCTCATTAAAGAGAGAGAGGATCTAAATAACACAATCAACCAACGTGACTTCTTAGACATATACAGAATATACCACCCAACAGCAGCACAGTACACATTCTCCTCCAATGCACATGGATCATTCTACAGAACAGACTATATTCTGGGCCACAAAGCAAGTGTTCAATAACTTCAAAAACATCAACATAAAACAAAGAATTTTCTCTGACCATAATGCTATAAAACTCAAAATCAATAAGAGAAAAAGCAAGGAAAAAAAATTAAAAACATGGAAACCGAATAATACCTTACTTAAAAACTAATGGTTATAGAAGAAATTAAAAATGAAATTGGAAAATTCTTAGAATCAGATGAGAATGAAGACACAACACACTAAAACCTCTGAGACACAGCAAAAAAGTGCTCAGAGGAATACTGATATCACTAAATGCACAAATCAAAAATAGGAAAGGCCCTAAAGCCATAACTTAACCTGACAACTTGAACAAACAGAAAAAGAACAGCAAAACATGCTCACCGTCAACAGAAGAAAGGATACAATAAAGAACAGAGCAGAAGTAAGTGAAATAGAACAGAGAAAAGCAATAGAGAGTATCAATAAAACAGGAAGCTGGTTCTTTAAGAGGATCAATAAAATTGACCAAACTGACAAAGAAAAAAAAAAAAAAAAGGAAAAGATGCAATAACCAAAATAAGAAATGAAATGGGTGACATTATAACAGAATGAGATAAAGAGGATCATAACAGAAAATTATGTAACAAATTTGAAAATCTAAAATAAATGGACAAATCTTCTAGAAATACCTTCTCTACCTAAATTAACAAAAACAGAGCTAGGAAACCTAAATAGACCCATAAAAAATGAAGAAATGGAAAATGTCATAAAAAATAAATTTAAATAAATAAATAAATAAATAAAACTCCCAACAACAACAAAGCCCCAGCCCATATGGCTTTAATGGAGAGTTCTACCAAACATTCAGAGAAGAGTTGACACCAAATCTACTCAAACTATTCTAGGATGCAGAAAAGAAGGAATACTCCCTAAATCATCCTATGAAACCAGTACAACTCTATTACCAAAGCTGGGTGAAGATACCACAAAAAAGGGAAAATCACAGACCAATATCCCTCATGAATACAGACAAAAAAAAATTGTCAACAAAATTCTAGCTAACAGAATAAAACAGTATCTCCAAAAATAATGTATCAGTATCAGGTAGGATTCATACAAGAGATGCAAAGGTGGTTCAAAATTAGGAAATTAATCAACATAATTCACCATATAAACAAACAAAAGGAAAAAAAATCACATGATCATCTCAATTGCTGCAGAAAAGGTATTGGAAAAAATTCAATACCCTTTCCTTATAAAAACTCTCAGCAAATGTCTCAGGACATGTCTCAATGACTAATGAATGGCATGTATCCAAAACCAAAAGCCAACATTATTTTCAATGGAGAGAGATTGAAAAGAATTCCACTTCAGAATGGGAAATAGACAAGGATGCTCATTATCACTATTCTTACTAGATATTGTATTGGAAGTCCTAGCCAGGGCAATACAGCAAGAAAGAAATAAAGGGCATCAAATTTGTAAGGCAGAAGTAAAACTATCTCTATTTGCAGATGACATGATCCTATACATAGAAAAATCCCAGAGATCCTACAGGAAAGTTACTAAAAGAGGGATTCAGCAAAGTGGCAAGGTATAAGAACAACATGCAAAAATCAGTAGGAGTCCTCTATATTAACAACGAGAACTCTGAAAAAAATCAAGGAAATAATTCCATTCATAATAGCTCCCCAAAAGGATAAAATACCTAGGAATAAATCTAATCAAGGATGCAAAAGACTTCTACAAGAAAAACTATAAAACATTACTGCAAGAAACCAAAGGAGACCTGCATAAATGGAAAAACTTACCATTCACATAGATTGGAAGACTTAACATTGTGAAAACGTCAATACGACACAAAGCAATCTATAGATATTATGCAATCCCAATCCAACTTTAAGCAACGCTCTTTACCAAAATGCAAAGACTAATCTCCAAATGCACATGGAAAGGAAAGAGGCCCCAAACAGCTAACACACTATTGAGAAGAAGAAATTAGGAGGCCTCACACTTCTCAATCTCAGAATTTACTATTCAACCACTATAATCAAAACAGACTGGTACTGTTACAGTGACAAGACACATAGACTAAAGGGATGGAATTGAGAACCCAAGAAGTAAATCCATCTAGCTATAGACAGCTGATCTTTGACAAAGAAGTGAATCCATTCAATGGGGAAGAAATAGTTTCTTTAGCAAATGATGCTGGCAAAACTGGATATCCATTTGCAGAAAAATTAAACAGGATCCTTACCTCACACCATGTACAAAAACTAACTCAAAATGGATCAAATACCTAAATGTTGAATGTAAAACTACAAAGTTCCTAGAAGATACATAGGGATAAAAGACCAAAGACAAGATGAGCTGTGGAATGACATCCAGGACATCACACATGAAGAAAGTAAAAAGTCATTAAAAAGACAGGAGATAAAAGAACAAAATGGATGTCAGAAGACACTGTGAAACTTGCTCTTGAATAGAAAGTAGCTAATAGAAGAAACGATGAAACAAAAGAGCTAAACAGTAAGATGAACTTGACCCATGCCATGGTTTTTTTAATCACCTCATATGTGTGAGAAAGCTGGACAATCAATAAGGAAGACCAAGGAAGAACTGATGTCTTTGAATTATGGTGTTGGCAAAGAATACTGAATATTGCATGGACTGCCAGAAGAACAAACAAATCTGTCCTAGAACAAGTACAGCCAGATCCTCCTTAGACATGAGGATAGTGAGATTTCATCTCATGTACTCTGGTCATGTTATCAGGAAGGAGCAAGCCCTTGAGAAGGAGATCATACTTGGTAAAGTAGAGGGTCAGTGAAAAAGAGGAAGACCCTCAATGAGGTAGAATGACATAGAGGCTGCAGCAATGGGCTCACTCATGGCCATGATTATGAGGTTAGTGTCAGACCAGCCAGTGTTTCATTCTGTTGTATGTGGTATCGCTATTAGTCAGAATCAACTTCATGGTACCTAATAAGAACAAGAAACTTTCTCCTAAAACACAATTCAATGTTAAAAGAAAAAAGGGACTATGCAAAGGATCTTTAAGATATCAGAAAATGAACCATCCGTGATACTATATCAGCCAAGATAAGTTACATTACTGCTGTAATAACAGACCCTAAAATGTCTGGCTTACCTCAATAAAGATTTTTCGTATCACCGTCCAATGTCTGCTGTAAGGAGGCTCTGCTGCAACCCATATTTCGGGAACCCATGTTTCTTCTATACTGCAGTTCTTTCATCTTCAAGCTCATAGCGTCAAAGTTGACCTGGTTTCATCCAGTTATGACATGGAAGGGTCAAGACAGTAAAGGAGACACACTGCTATATCTGGGATCAGATTCCATTGGTGAGAACTAATCACCTGGTCCTATCTACATGCAAAAATATTGGGAATTATAGGTCAGCTATGGGCCCTGGAAGGAGATCTGGTGGTATACTGGTTAAGCTCTTTGGCTGCTAATCAAAAGGTCAGTGGTTCAAACGCACCAGCTGCTGTTCCACAGAAATCTGTACTGCGTCTGTAAAGATTTACAGCCTTGGAAACCCAATGGAGGTCACTATGAGTTGAAATCAACTCAGTGGTTGTGAGCCTAGTTCTTTTTATGGGTCCTGGAAAAGAAAACAGGTTTGGCAAGCTTTTAGCCAGGCTTTGTCATAGAGAATGGTCTAGACCAGGGATTCTCAAAGTAACTTAAGCATTTCAAGGTAAGAGTTTTGAAATCTCTTGTGAAGCTACCAGTCTCTTCTGCCTGCCTTAATATAGTTAGTTCGTTAATATAGGAATCTGAAGGACATACTAACTTTACCATTTGTGGGTCCTTGTTTAAGCCATGATGCTCCATGCCTTGATAACATTTGCATGTGATGTCTGCCCCTTTTGCCTGATACTCTTTACCTTCCAACCTCCTCTTCCTTCAAGTCTAGCAAACTCCTCATCTTTTAAGACCTGAGTCAATGTTTACTTTCTCTATGATGAAATAGGAAGCACAGATATTTCCTTAATGCTCACTGCACATTATCCTTACTTCTATTACTGAATGCATAAGCCTGTATTATAATTGTTTAAAGACCAGCATGTTTTCAATCAGGTTCATTAATATTCACAATCTAGTGATCATTAATAGTCTTAGCTTCTCAAGGGCAAGGACTGGGTCATTCATCTTAGTATCCCCTATGCTTATCTAGCACAGGCCTAAGGAAAGAATGAAATGTTTCTCGGTTCCTGACACTTCTCAGTTGCTACACTTTTACTCTTTGTTTTGACTTGTGGGTTACTGGAGAAGATTGACAAGGAAGTATATTTTCTATTTGCGTAACATAAAGTGTTCCTATATTCTTGGTTTTGTCAGGATCGTTAGGTTCTAGAGATTAAAAGTGAAAGTATACAGAGTGCAAAGGGAAATTGCATTAAAAAAAAAAAAAAAAAAATCAGTGACCACATGGAGAATGCCTCCTATTATATCCTAGCTGAACATCAGAAACTATTAAAGTATTACTTCCAATTGAGCAATAAGGGCCCATAATAAAAAGTTGTAGACATTTCAAAGGCTTCTTACCCTAGGCTTTTCACTGCCCTACTCAGAACCTAGTGTTTCATACCTTCAAAATAGCTCTTTTGAAAAAATGAAGAGCATGATTTTAAAGCAGGGCAAAACAAACAAATAAATAAAAGGATAAACAAGAACTCTTTCAACTCGGAGCACTTGTAAGAACTTTAATGTTTATAGGGAAGCCTAGCCCCAGACTAGCCTCTGGCCCTTCTTCTTGGTATTGGTAGTTGATGGCAGCATTTATTTGCATTGAGGTAGTTTGAGGTCCTTTGGGGTTATTCATACCTTTGTTGTTGTTGTTGTTGTTATGTGCCTTCGAGTTGGCCCGACTCATAGCTATCCCTCCTTGGGTTTCCGAGGCAGTATCACTATGGAAGTAGGATTGCCCAACCTTCCTTCCGAGGAGTGGCTGGTGGGTTTGAACCACCAGCCGTCTGGTTAGCAGGCAAGTGTCTTAGCCACTATGCTACCAGAGCTCCTACTTTAATGTTATCCGGAGCTCTGGTGGCACATTGCCTAAGGCACTTAACTGCTAACTAGAAAGCTGGCGTTCAAACCCACCAGTCACTCCTCCGCAGGAAGATTGGGCAATCTACTTCTGGAGAGAGACTGCCTCGGAAACCCAAGGAGGGCTCACTAAGAGTCAGATTTGACTCGATGGCAGTGAGTTTGGTTTAATATGTTATCATAAAAGAATCTAAAGTATCCTTGCATTAGCATGATTGTTATTTTGTTTAGTCAGTCTGAAAAGCTATTATTAGATGTGTAGCCACAATATTTACTGAGAAATCTCCAAGTACACTAGCACTTAGCTTGAAAACACGTTAAATACCTCACACATAACTTCTTAAAAGCTATTACAATAAAAGCCCCAGCATTTTTTTTTTTTTAAATCCTGTAGTTAAAACAATTTGGGTAGAATATGCCAAATATAGCTAGAAATAGTAAATAATCCCCTAAAAGCGACATTAGCAAATTATTTGGCGTTTGAACAAAGAACCCTTTCTGCACCAGCATGAAAGATGCCTTTATTTTTTCTCACAAGTATGATTTTAGAAAACAGCTGTAGTGCATGTTGACAAATGACAAAGCAGCAGACGTGGTAAAAACACTTTCGGTCAAGGCCAAGAGGGGAAACAAAAATGGGTTGCTAGCTGAGCAATCATGAATCCCAAGCTTCCCTCACCTCTTTTTTTAGTTATTAGTGAGCTGGGGGCCTCATCGTCCCACCTCATTTTCCTTGGCTCTGGTTACACACATCCGTTAGAGTTGAACCTACTTGCTGCAGGCGGATTGGCGGCCAAATGCTCTTAGGCTCGTGCGTTTTATTTGTTAATTTATTTTCCGAGGCCGGAGCTGGCCTTTCCTTTGTGTCCAGACGCTGCTCCGGGGCTTCGGTGGGGAGCGGGTACCCCCGCTTCCACCCGCCTCTCAGGGCCGGCACGTGCTGCGTCCGCCAGCCAGGTCCGCCGAGGGGGCGGAGGCCCAAGCTTCTCTCCTCACCCCCCTCCCTGCCTTCAAGAGGAGGAGCAGCAGCAGGAGGCGACAACTGCCGGGCCGAGGCGGCGCAGCAGAGAGGGGGCTGCGGTCAGCAGAATCTACTCCGGGCTGCAAACCAGCCCTGCGCCTGGCGACTTGCAGCGGCGGCCGGGGAGGCGGGAGTGGCGCGGTCGCCCGTGATGTTCCCAGACACTTCCTGACTGGCTGGCAGCGCGCACACGGCGGACTCGCACGGCCGGTCCCCCTGCTCTCGCTCGCTTGCTCCCTCGCTTGCTGGCTCGCGGGGCCTCGCTCTGCGTCGGCCGAGGCGCGGTGGAGGCGCTCGAAGGGGACACGGCTGGGGATGAGCAGATTGCGGGTAAACACTCCGGTAACTGGCCTCGAGAAGCCGTGAGAAGCTTCTTTTCACCAAGTCGCCGTCCTGCCCTTGGATTTGAGATCATGTACGTACGCGTGGCCGTCCTGCCATTGTCTGTACCCCGAACGCGTGTCGTGCGCTCCGGGCGAGGGGCTCGTTCCCAGCCTCGCCGAGCGCCTGCTCCCCGCACTTCCTGTTCCGATTAAAGTGGACAATCGCGCTGACCGTGGTCTTTTTCTCCCCTTGTCCACTTCTCTGTCCATGTAGGTCCATTCACATCGTGGCGCTGGGAAACGAGGGGGACGCGTTTCACCAGGACAATCGGCCGTCTGGGCTCATCCGCACTTACCTGGGGAGAAGCCCTCTGGTCTCTGGAGACGAAAGCAGCTTGTTGCTGAACGCGACCAGCACGGTTGCGCGTCCAGTGTTTACCGAGTATCAGGCCAGTGCGTTTGGGAATGTCAAGCTGGTGGTCCACGACTGTCCCGTCTGGGTAAGGGGCAACAGCTAATTGGTGCTGTGACTCAGGGAGCTTTTCTTTCTTTCCTTTTTGCCTCTTAACCCCCCTTCCTGGAATATGGAGTGTCAGGGTCACCTGGATAGAGTTTTTAAACATTTTAGAAGAAAATCATTAGTTCTTTGTTTCATTGAGCAGGGGCCAGCCCAGTCAGAGAGCATTCTTGGAAGGCAAAAAGCCCCAGTGAGAATGTGGAGCACTTAACTCTTCACGACTGTGGATTGTCCCTTGGTGGACAGCTGACAGATGAATGTGCCAACCCCAAGGGACGAGATCACTAAATTTCACCAGCAGAGAGCAATGGTTTTTTAATGCCTATCCGTTGGATGATAATGTAAAACTACTTTCACTGGGGCTGTTCAGAAATAGGACCCCTGAAAATAAGGAAAAAAGACAGGGGCTGGGAATTAATTTCAAATGACTCATTTTTAGTATTATCCATCCCTGAAATTTTTAAATTAGTATTTCAATTTTGAATAATACAGGTAGTTTTGATATATTGGTCATTTGCTTTGAGTGACTCATGAAGGAGAAATTTTATTAATGTCTCTTAGAATTATTATTTTTTTTTACATTTTGGAGTAATTGAAAGAAATTGTAACTGTAGATCATCTCCAACTTAATTCTTGGATGTTTGGTAGAGGGAAAAGGAATCTACTTCCACAAACACACATACATGTTTTCAGTACACAATAACATTATATTTGTTGGAGCCCATAAAAAAGAAAAAAAAAAGGAACACTTGTTTTACTACAGCCATTTCAATGGGAAGAATCTTATAGTCTACAAATGCATTGGTTCAACATGCGATTGAACTCATAACGAATGAGTAGAGTAAATGAATGTAGGGAAAATAAAACAAACTGAATTAAGATGTTAGAACTGCCTTTCATAGTTCTTCTTTGAGCTGTTTATGTTGTTCCTTCCCGTTTATGTTGTTAATTTAGCAAAAAGCAGTACTTGTGACCCCATGTATTGTGTGTAGTAAATGAAATCTTCCAAACAGATTAAAATAAGCCTGTTTAGTCTGGATTTTTGCCATATATTGATTGTTATGGTTTATTATGCTAATCACTTTTGTTTAGTTAGACTCTGGTACAGCTAAAGCCACTTTTTTTGTAAACTCAGTACAATTTTCCAGGTTACAGTGGTCTTCTGGCATGTTGTTGTTAGGTGCTGTCATAGGTTCATAGTGACCCTTTGAACCACAGAACAAAACACTACCCGATCGTGCACCATCCTTACAGTTGTTGCTATGCTTGTTCCCATAGTTATAGCTGCTATGTCAGTCCTTCTCATTGAGGGTCTTCCCCTTTTTTTGCTGACACTCTAGCTACTTCACCAAGTGTGTTATCCTTCTCCAGGGTTGGTCCTTTCTGACATCATGACCAAAATACGTGAGATGAAGTCTGGCCGTTCTCGCTTCTAAAGAGCATTCTGTCTGTACTTCCTCCAGGACAGATTTTTTTGTTCTTCTAGCAGTCCATGGTACATTCGGTATTCTTCACCAACATGACAATTCAAATGCATCAGTTCTTCTGTGGTCTTCTTTATTCATTGTCCAGCTGTCAGATGCATATGAGGCTATTGAAAATACCATGGCTTGGGTTAGTCTCACCTTAGTCTTCAAAGTGACGTCTTTGCTCTTAAACCCTTTAAAGAGGTCTTTTGCAGCACATCTGCCCAACGTAATACATCGTTTGATTTTTTTGACTGTTATTTCCATGGGTATTGTTTGTAGATCCAAGTAAAACGAAATCCTTGACAACTTCAGTCTTTTTTTCATTTATCATGATGTTACTTACTGGTCCAGTTGTGAGGATGCAGGCTGATGGGTCGGACCCGACTCATAGTGACCCCTCCTTGGGTTTCCGAGGTAGTATCACTACTGTAGTAGATTGCCCCATCTTCCTTTCGAGGAGTGGCTGGTGGGTTTGAACCGCCAGCCTTTTGGTTAGCAGTCAAGTGCCTTAGACATTATGCTATCAGAGCTCCTATAGTTGTACAGATTTCTAGGGTTACTCTTTATAGAGTGCTTTTTTTCTTTTGGTGTTAAGGAGAGCCCATTAGAGATGTTCATGTTGATTGTATTCATCAGCTGATATATGACATATGTACTGAATCAGAATATTAAATACAGCAAAGCAGATAGAACACAGATTTTGATATCAAAAGGACTTGATTTTTTAACTGCACGCTGCCACTTAATGGCTGTGTGACCTGTGTAAATTGTTTATCCTCTCTCAGCCTTGTTATTTCCTGTCTCCAAAATCAAAACTCACCACCGTTGAGTCAGTTTTGACTCATAGTGAGGGGTCCTTGGGTTTCTGAGGCTATATCTCTACAGAAGTAGATTGCCTAGTCTTCCTTCCGAGGAGTGGCTGGTGGGTTTAAACTGCTAGCCTTCTGGTTAGCAGTCAAATGCCTTAGGCACTACACCACCAGAGCTCCTAGAGCTGTGTTAAGGATTAAATGAGATAGTCCATGTACAATTCTTAGCATACCAGCTGGCACATAGTGTTCAGTAAGTGGCAGCTATTCTAATGAATAAGAGTTTATTACAACTTTAGCCATATGTTACTTATACTAACCAAACGAAACTCATTGCCGTCTAGTTGATTCATAGCAACTGCCATTGGGTTTCTGAGGTGGTAAATCTTTATGGAAATAGATTGCCTTTCTTCCTTCTGTGGGTGGGTTTGAACCACTAACCTCTGGTTAGCAGTCAAATGCCGGAGGCACTGCGCCACCAGAGCTCCTTATTACCTATACTAAGCAAGAGTAAAGTTTCCCTGCATATCATTCAGTATTTACACAAATAAAGTACATTGAAAGTAGCTCTGGTGGCTCAGTGCGTAAGGCATTTGACTGTAAACCAGAAGATTGGCACTTCAAATCCACCAGACACTCTGCAGAAGAAAGATGGGGCCGTCTACTTCTGTAACGATTTACCACCTCAGAAATCCAAAGGGCGTCTCTATAAGCTGGAATCTACTCTATGTCAGTGAGTGAGTAAAATACATTGAAGTGATGTTAGTACTTAGTAGGTGCTATATTTGCAGTCTCACAGTAAAGTAGAATAAAGTTGTTTCACTGTATAAATTAAGATTTTTTAAAAAAAACGATTTGGAGATGAGTCCAGTTCTCCAAAAGTGGTTCCCAAGCCTTGTGTTGCATAATCCCCTAGAGGAAATCCTGGAGCTGATTTAGAAAGGGTGGGAGAATTTGATTTCCTTTGTAATCCTGGAAACCAATGGAGCAATTTCTCTTTGACATACTCTGAGAAGAAATGTGTTGTTTTGGAGTTGGAATGAAATAGTTGTGCTTCTCTTTCCTAGTTCTTGTCTGTAGGTCCTTAGTCTTACTGTAGATCCTTTCCCTATATACTTGGCACTTTTTAAATAAATATGGTTCACATTACTTAGATGTAGCTCATAAGTATATATCTCCCACTCAGTCCCTTTTCCTGTGTATTTACATTATTATTTCAGATTTCTATATCTTTTCCTGTTTACCTAGAGTATTGTGTAAAAAGCAGTGAGATAATGCATTTACAGGCTTTTTCTGTGTGTGTGCGCAGTATTTGAAGCTCTGATTTATATTACAAATGTAATTATACTATTTACATCCTCTGGTACCATAGTGCTTAAGGCACTTGACTGCTAACCAGAAGGCTGGCGGTTCAAACCCACCAGCCACTCCTCAGAAGGAAGATGGGTCAATCTACTTCTGTAGTGATACTGCCTTGGGAACCCAAGGAGGGGTCGCTATGAGTCGGGTCCAACTTGACGGCACACAACAACAACAACAACAACATAGCACAGTTTTAAAAATGCTAAAATCCATTTTCTTATGACATTTTTCCTTAAATTTTCCTTAAATATTTCCTCCCCACCCCCCCACTCCTTTCTGGTAACTCTGGAATTTTGAACTATCTGCAATGAAAGAGAAGTTACTTTGATCTGTTTTCTCCAAGTGAAATGGCTGTTTAGTATTGGTCTCACTTATATGTAGTTTTTTACCCTATTCATCTGTCTTTGCCCTCTTTCTTTGTTACACTTACATACTTTGTTATACTTGTATATTTGAACTTGAATAATACAACGGATACAATTGGAACTGAAGGGGTTTTGTGGTCTGGGATTTGGAAATGAAAGTAGAGCTGTGCTGGGAAGCCGTCATATGTCTTACACTATGTCTCATTCCTGTTCTACCCATGATTACATCCCCAGCCCAGTGCAAGCCTTTGCTTTTGTTGTTTTTATTCCATACTTTGCCCATTTTTTGGTTCTTCTAGACTTCTTTCAAAAATGCTTTCTCCATCCCACTTTCAAAACAGTATTCCTATCCTCCTCTAGGTGTACTTGCAGGAGATAGGGAGGTTGGGGAGTGTATAAGGGATTGGGAGAGGCTTTGTAGGAGGTGAGGAGCCTTGGTGGCACAGTGGTTAAAGTGCTTAGCTGCTAACCGAGAGATCAGTGGTTCAAACAGAAGCTGGAGAAAGATGTGGCAGTATGCTTTCATAAAGATTACAGTCTTGGAAACCCTAGAGGCAGCAGTTCGACTTAGTCCAATAGAGTTGCTATGTGTCAGAATCAATTTGACAGTAATGCATTTCGTTTTGGTTTGGTTGCAGGGGTCTGGGGAGGCACTGATGAGAAGAAGCTCTCACAGGAAAAGGGCATTGCTCTGTAACACTCCTCCAGAACTTTCCATTATAGTCTAAAAGCTCTGTCATACACATCTTGATTGACTGAATGCTTCAAACACTTTTATTCAGTTTTGAACCCATATTTCAAAGCACAAACTTTCATAATGCAACAATTTTTAGACTTGTTAGTCACAGTTAGATATTTCCTTACTTAGTGTTGTTGCATCCTGGAAATACATACCCAAGCCCTCATGAAAGGACAAATAATGATTAAAAGTTGGCTTGAATGTGGTAATAAATCTATTTATGTACACAGCAGTGGTATTAAAATACATAAAGATATTTTCCTTATGGTGCTATTCACACAAAAACTTTGAAAAATTCTTTTTCTTAGAAATTGTAGCAAAAGTGCATTTTATTGGCTAGCATGAAAAGTCAAGGATTAATATAAGTATGTTTCTCCAAAAACTTTTATTATTATTATTATTTTAACTTTTTTTTGAAAAATTCTGTTAAAATGCATACATAAAATATAAAAGTACTACGTTATAAGGAATGGGGTTGATATACATTCCTTTTGGTCCCAATCTAAATAGAAATACTGTTAAATGTAGTCCAGAAGTGAAGATTTCAAAACCAATAAGATTTACCCTGTCTTTTCATTTATATAAGCAAAATCATCAATTACAAATATATCCCTTACCATGTAAACTCCTTAGTAACAAATACACAATCTTTTTTGGAGGCATAACACTCACCCCATACACACACCCACACACAGACATGCACTGCCCACATATGGTATTGCCCAAAGAGTGGATAAAGTTGAAAAGTATATATGCATTTTGGAAATGTGAATGAAATATATGGAATAACACAGAGTTCACAGTTGATTTACAGTATCAAAACACTGAAAAATCCTGCAGCGTCAAACTAAGTTACATAAAATCTTTTGAAGTCTTACACTCATACCAGTGCATTAAGTCTAATGCCTAGTGTTTCATACTTGGGATAAAAAACATAGCATGATTTTAAAGCAAATGTTTATTTCTAAGTACAAATATTGAAAGAGGTTATATATTTCATTAAAATCTCAGTAATTCGCTAGATCTTCTGTTTTTCTACTGCATATTTTTCCTAGGAGTAAGTAAAAAAAAAAAAACCTTGGGGGGAAAAAACTTGGCAGAACAAACATTTTTAATTTTATGTAGTAACTTATTTAAACATTAAGTTCTCTTTTTGAATTACAAAAATTAAAGTTCATAGCAAAAATTGTAAACTAACATGTTAGCTTATTTCCTGCTTGATTTTCTGACAAGTAAACTAAAGGTTGCTCTTTGCATTTTGGTTTAGGATATTTTTGACAGTGACTGGTACACCTCTCGAAATCTAATTGGGGGCGCTGACATCATTGTGATAAAGTACAATGTGAATGACAAGTTTTCATTCCACGAAGTAAAGGATAATTATATTCCAGTGATAAAAAGAGCATTAAATTCCGTTCCAGTAATCATCGCTGCTGTCGGTACCAGGCAAAATGGTGAGTATTTATTTTCTGTATTATAATGACAGTACAGGTACTGTATTACTTTTAATAGAGCTAAGTTTATTACTGATGAATACAGATACATAAAAAAAAAACTGGATTCAAATGCCAGCTGCTATCTCTGTATCATTGAATATGCAGATGAAACATGAAAGGAGATTATCTCAGACTTCTGTGGTTCTGCTGTATACAAATCTGTCTTCTAAGCTGTTTTTCTACAGTAGCAAAGGAAGACAGAAGTTGTGTTCTTTTGACATATGATAGGTAGTAGGCTGACCCAGTCCTGGAAAAACTTTTTTATTTTTTTGCTGATCTAAGGATCTATCCAAGTAGGAAGGATAGCTTGTACACTTAAGGAGGTTTGGGAGCAGGACTTTTAGATAGATAATCAATGAGCTGAATATCCTGACAACATCACCTGAGAGAGGGATTTACTCCATGACTGATGAATTCATTATTTGCTGCTTTGCAGATTATTGTCAAATAGCCGCAGGGCCAACTCAGAATTCACTTTGATTTCATGGTATTTTACAGATCTTTAGATCTTCTTAGTGGTATTTTCCTCACTAAAGCTGTCTTTAAAATTTTAGTTTTCTTTTTTTTTTGTATTTTTACAAATACATATAGCCACGTAAAGTTCATAAAGTTCGCTGATCTTAGAGTCCAGTTTAGTGCATTTTTACATATGTGTACACCCTTGCCACTGTCTCCCAGATCAAGATAGAGAATATTTCCTACTGCCCTTTTCCAGTTAATAACTCCCCTTCTCAGGGGTCACTGCTATTCTAACTTCTAAAAGCACAGATTAGGTTTTTTTTTTTTTTAATTTATTACAAATGCAATTATATAGTACATAGTGTTTTGTGTCTGGGTGATTTCACTTAGCATATAATGCTTTTGTGACTCATCCATGTTGTGTATAATTTATTGTTTGTTCTTATTGCTGTGTAATATTCCATCATATGACTATGCCACAATTTGACTTCCTTATTGTCATTTTCCTTTTAGTGGATGTTTTGGTTGTTACCTTAGGACTGGGTCATAAGAGAGCACATGTTTAGCATTAGTAGATTCAAATAAAATAGGCTTGACCCTTCCTTGACCTCACACCCCCACTACTTCCCTATCTTTATTTTGTTCTGGCCACGATTTTTGAGTCATTCACTTCCTGAGACTGCTTTCTGACTTTCCTTCATTCTTCTGTCCACTATGGTCTGACTTCCACTTTCACAATTACACTGGATTTGTTCTCACTCATGTTGCCAAATACATCCTTGTTGCTAAATTTAACATACTTTAATATCGGTTCTGTCTTTGAGATTATTCAAACATATCTCTCCCTCTACTTAATAAAGCTACTCAGTTTTTCTTTCTGGTTCTTCTACTTCTAGTTTCCTCCCTCCCACCCTATACATTGTGTAGTAGTTTCCCAGGGTTTCTCCCATTCGTTGGCTCCATCTCTTCTTGCTCTCTACCTGGACCATGAGCCCTCTAATTTGTTGCCTTGGCTTCCCCTGTATTTTCACTGATGATGGTTCAGTCTGTTTCTCTGGATCTGTATCTCTGCAGCCATCTTTTTTTTTTTTTTTTTAATTCCTTGTCTTGGTGAATGATGCCAAGACTACCCATCCACCCAACCCAGAGTCATCTAAAACTCACTTTCTCTCCCTTTCCCCACATCCAGTTGACTGTGAAACTCATGATTTTGCATGTTAAATAAATCTCATACTCACCACTCTTTCTTCATCTCCACTAGACTTCAGATCCTAGCCATTTAATTATCTGTTGTGACCTTATTTATTTTCTAGGGAGCAGTTCCAACTTTTATAGGGACTAAAACTTATGCAGAATGGGAGGTCCTTTGTAAGGAAAAGAATTCACAAAATTACAAATACATATATGTACAAAAGTCATTTGTTTAGAGTAACAAAAGAAAGTGTAAGTTACAAATCTGAAAAAGCATTTTCCTAAATAACATGAAGTTTTCATAATTTAACAACCTGACACTTTAATTTTTCTGCCTATATCTTTTAGGGCTGCGTACTCTTTAATGAAAATCTCTTCTAATTTATGAGTGTTTGTATTTCATTCTCCCTCCATCCCTCCATCCCTTTTTCCTTCTTTCCCTCCTTCCCTTTCATCATTTCTAGGATTTGGCAGGAAAGGGAGATTTCAGTGTGGACTTAGCCTGCCGTCTTAAAATTGGAAGTGAATATGATCCCTTCTTTCTCCATCCAGGCCTCTGCATATGCTGTACCCTTTGATTGGAGTGCTCTCTACCAGTGGCGTCACTAGGGTTGGTGTCACCCAGTGCGGTAACTTACGGTGTCACCCCACCCCCCGTGGATCTCCCATACCAAACCGTACAAAACCCTTAGTAACATCTTTTATCAATTTTAATCATAGAATAATGTGTGATATAGTTGTAAATTGCTTAAATGTAATATTTCTTAAATTACATGAATCCTAACAAAATTATGTAAACTTTCTGCATTGAATTACATTATTAATTACAACATTAGTATTAACTGAGCTTTTTTTATTTTCTCCTTCTTTTCCTTTAATTACCACTTTATTTTCCAAAACAGGTATTGATATAGGTTCACAGATATTAATTACCACAATATTATAGCTAAGACACCAGAAAATTAGACAAAAATCAGTGACTAGAGAAACATTGACAGCAAGGGAAACAACAGTATGTGCTTGTAGCCCATTTAGACAAAACCATGTGATTGGAAGTGTCATTGCAATTGGGTAACAAAGACAGCACTCACTAGAGTGCATTGTGTTGTAAATTAGAATAGAGTTTTAGTATATTGATGTATGGCTTATGAAAAATGTTTTTCTTGTTATAATGAACTACAGAGATATTTTTATTTAAAAAAAAAAATAATAAATTTCAGCTGAAGCACTGCACAAAAATTTCATAGACAGTCATTTTGTTGTCACACCTATGACAGTGTCACCACTGTCTGCATCCCCCATGCCCCGCCTAGTGACGTCACTGCCTCTACACAGCTCCCCCCATATCTGCAAAGCAAATTCATACTCATCCTTTAAATCATTACCTTTTCTGTAACATCGTTCATAATTCTCCCAGGCAGAGTTAATTTCCTCTCCTCTGTTCCCATGGTGATGCTGTACACCTTTATTATAATATTTATTATATTATGTTATAATTGTTTGCAGTCATGTCTGTCTTGCTCAGGTGACTCTGAGCTTCTTTTATCTTTGTATCTTTATTTCCCTAGTTCTCTGTGTGTGGTGGGTGCTCAATAAACATTTATTCAATAAGTGAATGTATGGTTTTAGAAATGATATAAATATGTGAAGAACTCAATTTCCCTAACAAGGTTAAATTAATTTTCTCTCTCTCCCTCTCTCTCTCTCTCTCTCTCTATTCTTTCTCTCTCTATAGTGATTTCAAAGTAATCACAAAGCTAAATCTGGCTATTTAACTCAAGGACATTTATTGAGAGTCTCCCCATCCCCCCCAGTATATGTAACTGTGTTTGGCAGCTCTCTTTGTAACTCCTCTCTTGGAATTAATTTTATGACTAGTTCAACAAAGACAATCAGTCTCATCTCTTTCCTTTGTTACACATTGTTTTTGACAAGCTTGATTGTGTGTGTGCCTTCTTCATCAGACTTGGCTCTGAATAAATTTCTGGCTTTTATAAAATATTGTATCTCTCTTTAAAGGGATAATTTTTATTTCAGAACATGCCTGGGCTGCATTCATAGCCTTAAGTTCCTGAAGACAGCATCATGTCTTGTTCTTTTTGAAGCTCTGGTGGAGCCTAGTACATTCCTAGGAAGCGGGATACTTCAAAAGGATTTCTAAAGCTATTTTAAACAGTGGTAACATTGTGAAAATCACTCTCTAGGTTCTCAAAGTAACTACTTTGAAAAAAAGATGCCATTCATTTGAATGCCAGAGTTATATTTTGTTTACTTTTTTTTTTTAATAGACATTTTATACTTTAAAAGATAACATAGTAGAAAAAAGACTACTAGAAGAGCAGCACTGATTCACAAAGTTGATAGGACCCTTAGAGCCACAAGAGTGAGTCCTGTAACTGTACATAAATTGTATTTCATTAAAATGTATTAAAAAAAAAAAAAGAGCGAGTCCTATAAGAAGGCACCACTATTTAATGTTACCATGTGCCCTCTGATTGTTCCTGATAAAATGCTCAAAGTAGGCTTTGTGGATTCTCTTGCTGTACAAGTCAGACATTTTCTTAGAATCTTAGATTATATAGCTGATAGATGTGGAAGAATATAGGAATGGTTCAGAAGAGAATCACAGAAAAATTAGCAACAAAAACTCATAAGGAAAGTTTTAAGAAAGAATATTTTAGAATCCAGATAAAAGTTTGCAAGTGGCAATTAATTACAGGGTAATAGTGACTGGGGTTTTATCCTTTTTGGTGAGTATAAACAAAAAGAATTGTCTTAGTGATACAAAGTAAGTAAATAAGGAACAGCTTTCTGGGGTAGTGTATCAGTAAAGTACTTACAGCTACAGGCAATGGAAAACCCTACTCTCACTTGGCTTAAACCTGACTGAGATTTCTTGTTTTCCCCTCAGATCTAGATTGTTTAAAATTATTTCATGTTATGTTCACTTAAGGAGTTCTGGTGGCATAGTGCTTAAGGTATTTGACTGCTAACTGGAAGGTTGGCTGTTCAAACCCACCAGCCACTTTGCAAAAAAGAAGACTGGGAAATCTACTTTAGTAAATTTACCGCCTTGGAAACCCAAAGGGGGTCACTATGAGTCAGAATTGACTTGATGGCAACGAGTTTGTTGTTTTCCTTTCTTTTTTTTTTTTTGAATGTTCACTTCTCACTTGAATACTAGTGAGTTTGATATATTTTTGTCCAGAAATAAAATCTGATAGGATGATCTGTCTCTACCCACCCCATTCCAACAACATAAGGAGGGCTTTGTAAACGTAAGAAGGCCTCTGTCTTCAGACTTTCTTTCAGAACCAAAAGCACTATTTATGAAGGCTTTGTAAGAATGCAGAATACCAACATGTTATTTTTCAAGATAAGGCTAAATTCTTTATGAAAACTTTATTTGCTCCGAACCTAAAATGATCTTAGGAAAAGTAAAAGCAGAAACTCACATTTGATTTATGACATAACGTAGAGAACTCAAGCTTAATTTTTAAATCATCTTTGGCATCAATAATTGTTTACTCAGATTAAATTTTTATCTTATCTGTTGCTTTCACAGTTCTATTCTTGCTTCTCTACCTCTTACTTATAATGAGACTTGGACAAACCACTTAACGTCTTGAGCTTAAGTTTCTCCTCTGTAAAGTTAATACTTGTGAATACCATGTGAATAGATGGTTTCTAGACACTCAAAGGCTTTCTGTGAGACTAAAATTATGCAAGTCGTGTGTGTGTTTGAGCATGTGTGGACATACACACATACATTTTTATGTACATACTATGCAAATGCACTAAATATCCTTAGTATGCACCCAATATGAACATATGTGTGCTCCATCTATATGCAGTTCATTGATAGAAAATATGTGGTGGCTCTTGTGGGAAGCTGTCCACATGCGCCTTCAGAGCCACTGTGCTTATACCCTCAGTTATTGGACATGATGGCTGCTGACCACTCACAGCTGACTGAATTTCCTTTTCAGGACTTGCCCTTTGTGAAGGGAAGCTGCCTTGCCCAAGGTTATGCCCCTTCCTCATCCAATTACTGGTTGATTTAGGAGTATAATGACCCATCCTTCTTTCTCCAAATGGAGAGTTACCAAAGGGCCATCCAAGCTCCAGAGTGCCCTGTAGGATTGGCCAAAGCCTCTTGCTGCAGCTGCATTTCAGCTCAGCTTTTCCTCTACCCAGTCCTGCTACTCTCAAGTTGTTCCCAGCATCATCCCACTCCTCTCTTACACAAGCCTCCATCTCAGAATCGGCTCTCCAGGGAAACAACCTACAGCAACATGCATTTCCCTCTTTCAGGGACATGCATTACCCTCTTTTAACTTGGGTACCTTTTGAACAATGCACATCTAGTGTTACAATAATGAAACAAAACAAAGCTAACTGATGCATGTGAAGTTGAATGTACGTTTTTAGCTTTATTAGAGAGGGTTCTTATGGATGTTAATGTAGCACCGTACAAGCCATATATATCATATATATGTGTATGTGTATATGTATATGTATATATATATAAATCATGAATATTAGTGTTCAAATTTTGAGTGAATACGTTTTATTCCTTTTGTTTTCTAAAATTTTTTAATGTTGATGAAAAAGAGAGTGTTCAGATTTGGTCTCTGCAGTTGAATGCTGTAGAGTCTAATGATTGAAATTTCTGGGTTAATAAGAATGTATGTTATATGAAATTTACAAAGAGAGGCAATTTACACCCTTCAATACTCAGTGCAAACTGAAGATTCTGTTCAAACTTGGTGAATATATTTAAAGTGTATTACAAAAAAAAAAAAAAAGAAGAAGAAAAAAGCTAATCCACTGTTTTCTATGTTTCATCATTTGTGTTTTTTTCTACTTGCCTAGAAATATTGATACTCGGGCTGGGTAAAAGAAAGCAGGTGGTTCAAATCACTACAACTAGCCTTGGTTGTGTCCATTCACCTATTTTTAAATCCATCTATTTTCTAAAATACTATTTATTCTTCTTGCAATTAAAGCTTATTTAATTAGACCTTTTTCTTATCATTGGCACTTTTTACCCAGAGTCTAACAGATAGAAGGATCTTGAATGGTGGTTCTGATATGAGCTCTTAAGTTATAATTTATCATCAGATTGTCTATGTACTTTTTTTTTCTGTTTCACTTAAAAACTCTTTGTTATTCATTTTCTCAGAAGAATTACCTTGTACATGTCCACTATGTACCTCAGACAGAGGGAGCTGTGTTAGTACGACTGAAGGGATCCAACTCGCTAAAGAACTAGGGGCTACCTATCTTGAACTGCACAGCCTTGATGACTTCTATATAGGAAAGTATTTTGGAGGCGTGGTAAGTGGAAATCCCTGTTACATAAATTAAAGCAATTTCTCAGGTTGGCTAAAGAGCTATTTTCCACAGCATCAGTTCGAACTTTAGTTTTAGAAGCATGAGTAGTCCTAATTGAGAAATAAGGTAAAAGTACATAGAAAAGGTTTAAAGAGCTCTGGTGGTGCAGTAGTTAAATGCTCAGCTATTAATCAGAAGGTTGGCAGTTCCAACCTATCAGCTGCTCATGAGAGAAAGATACAGCAATCTCTTTCCATAGAGATTACAGCCTTGGTAACTCTGTGGGGCAGTTCTACTCTGACCTTTAGGGTTGCTATGAGTTGGAATTGACTCTACAGCAAAGGGTTTGCTTTTTTGTTGTTGTTGTTAGAAAAGGTATAAAATTAAAGTTTTATTTTTCTCTTCAAATAAAACATTTTCCATTTTTAATATGATACTTAGCAGTTTTCCATTCAGTGATATTTTGTTGGTCTTTGTTTTACATACTAAAAGCATGTTTACTTTCACAAACCTGTGATGTCATTTTTAATAATCATCTTTATGCAGCTGAAAGAGCTTGGTAATCTCAAGCAGTGGGTCCTGAAAGTTCCTGCTTTCCATCTACTACTTGAAAAGAACAATTTTTCTTCCTGTAGGTGTGTTTCAGCAAGATTTCGGATCTTCTGATCTTATGGTAGTTAAAAATTGTCAGGTAAATGAGGAGCCAGGATTAGGTTACACAGTTGCAAGGGCATTTAGTAGGCACTATAGGCATTTTAAAGTGCTCTGGTGGCATAGTTGGTAAGACAATTGGCTGCTAACCAGAAAGTCAGCAGTTCAAACCCACCAGCTGCTCCATGGGAGGAAGATAAGGCAATCTACTTCCATAAAGTTTTACAGCCTTGGAAAGTCAATGGGGGTCCCTATGAGTTGGAATCAACTTGATGGCAGTGGTTTGGTTTTTGGTAGACATTTTAAGGAACTTCGGTGGTGCTATGGTTAAAAGCATTCGGCTGCTAACCAAAAAAAGGTCAAGAATTCAAACCCACCAGCTGCTCCACAGGAAAAAAGATGAGACATTCTGCTTCCATAAAGATTTGTAGCCTCAGAAACCTTTTGTGACAGTTCTACTCTGTCCTGTAGGGTTACTATGAGTTGGAAATGACTCAATGACAGTGGATGGGCAGGCATTTTGAAGCTCATCATAGCCTCTAGTACATATTCTGAAATATTAAGACTGCAAAGTCCTTGGAGAATACAGTGGAGTTGCATCATTTATCTATTTACTGACTTTGGAACTATCTTTATAACTCTAAACAATAACTCTTCTCACCAGACATCTGATAAACATAAATAAGAAGTTTAATCCAAAGTAAACCCTAAGCATGAGAACTTTAGAATTCTTCACTGATCTGATCCCCTAGCCCTTTATGGAATACTGTGTTCAATTTGCTACAATATTTGTTATGCAAATTCATGACTGAATATGTTGAGATGTTGATATTTCTACAGATGACTGTAGAAATTTTATTTATTCTGAAGTTACTCACCTGGATAAAATAAATAAATACCAAATATAAATGGAAATGATGCTTACACAATATCAATCAAAACCAAACCCACTCCGGTTGAGTAGATTGCTACTTATGGCGAGCCTATAAGACAGAGTAGAACTGCTGCATAGGGCTTGCAAGGAAGCAGTATTTACGGAAGCAGACTGTCACATCTTTTTTTTTTCCCACAGAGTGGCTGATGTGTTTCAATCTCTGACCATTTAGTTAGCACCTGAGTGCATAACTACTGTGCCATCAGGGCTCCTTCTATGTAAAGGACTGTTATTTACTCAGTATTGTAAGGAAGCATTAATAATACAGCATTCAGGAAGATACATTCCCAATATTGTTGTTATCCATGACAGTGAGAAACTTTTGCTTATTAATAGTGATAAGTAGTGGGATGAGGGAGAAGGGGAAAAATCCTAATTTTCCTGTCAAACAGATTTTATTATAAGGAGCTCTAGTGGCATAGTACCTAAGGCATTTGACTGCTAACCAGAAGGCTGGTAGTTCAAACCCACCAGCCACTCCTTGGAAGGAAGACTGGGCAATATACTTCCATAGAGATACCACCTTGAAAACCCAAGGAGGGGTCGCTATGAGTTGGGGAGGGGAATAATCTTAATATTCCTGTCAAACAGATTTTATTATAGTGACTTTAAAAAAGTCTTTTTTGGTCTAAGAATCTTACATTTCTCAGAAGTGCCCTATGGGAGGAAAAGAAATTTTGCTGTTATTTATTCAGAGCAGAGAGGAGGAGGCTGGTTCCATTGGGAGCCTTATGTCTCCTTGTTCCCTGTTCCATGTTCCTGAACCTGAAATACTCAGGCTCACTTTTCCCACTTTCCAAATACAGTGAAACCTGTGAAAGCCAGAACTCCATGGAACTGCCTTATTTTTCTGAGTCTTGCAAATTTTCCACCTTTTTCAGAGTATGTAGCCTTATCACTTTTCTATAGTTTGTTTTAGTGGAAAATATTTGCATTTTCCTTTCCTGATGGGTTTCCACTTTACACAGGTTCTGGATTACATAGGTTTTCTCTCTCTTCTTGTTCCCCATTGTTCTTTGTTCCTAAAGCCTTGTACTGCAGATGGGGTTGAGGTATGATGAAAACTGAAGATGTGATCAAGATTGGGAGAAAAACATGGCCATTTCTTTTTTCTTTAACTCAAGACTTGATGAGACTGTGTAAATAAGATCCAAATGATCTCTTTACAGAACTTGGAAAACAAAGTATGACTGAAAGATGGAGTAAAAGAAATAGAGGCATTTGCAAGAATTATGGATGGAAATGATACTGTTAAGAGTGAAAATCTTAAAGAGTCAGGGATGAAGAGCTGTGCAGCAATACCTTCAGATCTGGGCAAGAAGAGTATCTGCATATCCCTGAGCTTTAAAGGATTCTGTCTGCCTTTCCTCCAGTTATAATTCTCACAGTCCATAAGTCCATGGGGTCAAGGGACTATCTCCCTTGGATCTGGTATCTCCCTTCTAGACCTACAGTGTCTAATACAGTAGTTCTGTTGTACATAGGGTCGCTCTGAGTCAGAGTCGACTTGATGGCGTCTAACAACAACATAGTAGCCACTATCCACATGTGGCTGTTTATATTTAAATCAATTAAAATGAAATAAATCATAAAATTCAGTTCTCAGATGTACTATCCATATTTCAGGTGCTTAATAATCACATGTGGCTAGTGACTACTCTATTGGACAGTGCAGAGATCACAGAACATTTCCATCAGCATAGAAATTTCTGTTGGGCAGTACTGTGACCATCCTCCAGAACCCCAGACCCTAGAATTCTCTGACCACCTACCCTTGAGTCTGTATCTAGGACCTGTCCAGGCCCTTTTCCTGGGTCCATCTTACTGAAGGTATATCACAAACCCAGGGGTTTGTGTGTGTACCCCTAGGCCTGAGAGGTGGCAAAGGGGTGATTGTTTGTGTGGAATGAGGGAGGAGAATGGATGGAGCTTAAATGTGTGGGCTTGGTTGTTTACTTGTATGCACAGAGGTCCTTGAAGCATGGGGTGGAGCAAGGGATGAGAAGACAAAGGATGATCTTGGGGCTCAGAAATTAGGGGTTAGTTCTCTCTGTGTTTATGAAACCCTGAGGAGCCTGAGAATTTAAATCTGAACCTCGCCTTCAAGGCTTTCATAATGATAGATTTATTAGAGCAGGAGGAGACAATGTATTTTATATGTTTGCTTTCTTGATTTGCATCTTTAAAATATTTAGATATATTGTGATGGTTAAGTGTATGTGTCCACTTGGGTAGGCCATGATTCTCAGTGGTTTGGCAGATATTTTGTAATCATCCTCCATTTTGTGATCTGATGTAAGCAGTCAATCTGTTGAAGGGAGAGTTTCCTTGGGGATGTGGCCTGCATCCAGTATGTATGAATATTCTGGCAAAGCTTGTTCTTTCTCAATCCTGTGTCTGACTCATCATCTTCAGCCCTCTGGTTCTTGGGATATGAATGAGAAGCCTGCCATGTGACCTGCTGATTTTGTGTTCCTTTGTCTCTGCAACCACGTGAGTCAAGAGAAGCCTCCAACTTGATGCCTGATCCATAGATTTGGACTTGCCAGCCTCCACAACTACATGAGCCATTTCCTTGAAATAAATCTCTCTCTCTATGTATTTACATATACCCACTTCAGTGGTTTTGATCCTCCAGAGGACCCAGCCTAAAATGATTGGTACTGAGAGTGGTTCTAGAGGAGCAAAATTATAAAGATGAATTTTCTGAATTGGTTTTTAAGTTTAACTAGTATGAAAAGAAGCTGATGACTCTGCCTCTAGTAGTAAATAGGACACTTTAATAATGGCATGAGATAGCAATAGAAATACTCAAAATATCACCACCAACGAATCAAATATTTGTGAGAGACATGGTCTGGTTGATTACATATATGATAGTTTTTTACAGTTTTGTCAGAATGAGAAGTATAAGGAAGCTGGTTGATTGTTCTTACTTTTGTTGGTGAAAGGAGATGAGCTCAAAGCTTCAGAGTCACAACTCAAGCACTGCATACCTGAAAGTTGTTGCTTGTGCCCTGAAAGAAGCCTTATTTCTTGTAGTAACAGAGCTGATACTGCTGAAAATCAAACCCAGAGTCTTACTTTAATAGTGACTGAATTACAACACCAATTGAATTTCCAGCCTCAAACGATGTCTGAAGTTAAAGTGCAGGCATTGATCGGGAAGAAAGGGATCCTGAAACTTGAGATGGCAACATATGGGCAGATAATTAGGAAGCTGGAGAAATTGAGCCTCTAAACTCATGAATCACTCTGTCCGACAGAACCAGCCTTCATACTCTCATCTGAAGAGGCTACTGCATATTTGTCTGCTAAGCCACCTTCCCCAGGAAAACCATTATTCCTTTTACCTCTACCTGATGAGATTAACCCAGAGCTATGGCTGAAGAGTCTTTGTCTAAGATACTGCCTGACA